GGCTGGGGATTCGAACCCGCCACCTTAGGTGTATGTGGCTGGTGCCTTAGCCGCTTGAGCCACAGGCGCCGAGCCGATTTTTCAGATCTTAAACAGGCACAATGCATTGGACCACTCTCCTTGGGCAGAGGGAAACTCAAATGGCCAGAAGATCTAGCATAAGGTATTGCTCTCAAGACCACCATATGGCCTCTTGGTTTTCTTGGCCAAGGAAAAGACCGGGACCAGAAAACCAGCTGTTTGCTTGGGCCCTGGAATATGCTGCTTACCTACTAATTTCCTCGGCCCCCATGTGGAAGAGTAGATCCGTGGATGTCAAGCCAAAAATAACTCCATTTATGGAGAGTGTACAGGGCTCAGACACGAACTGTACTCGCTAAAATGAGGATAGATTAAAGAAACATTAGCACACCAAAGCCAAAAGCTTCTTTCTCATGAGAGGGGGTGGGGTCTATAAGGGATGGGGAGGGGATCAAACCAATGTACAGCAAAACTTACAAACACATTTGCCTGTTAAAAAAATTTAAGACTTAGGCCACATGCATGCCTAAAAATGTCTACCCACCCTCCACTTCAGGACCAGAGCTGGGTCATTGTGGCATGTTGGATTTTGGGCTGCCTGCTGGTCAAGGAGGGGGTGCTGGTACCTTTTTGTCCTCTCGAGACAGATCTGAGTAGCTGAAAGGCGGCTGTGGGTACACGGGCTCATGGTGCACATCTCTCAATGATGGGACAAAGACAAGGTGGGAGCCAGAGCTACTTTGTCAAAAACAGAGGAGGGAGAAAGATGGTAGCAGTTGAGTTGGAACAGCTGGACAACAGACTGGATGTGTCAGAGCTGGATACATGGAAGAATCCCAGAACTAGACTCTGCTCTGAAGAGAGACGTTGTTTCCCACAGGACACTGGGAGTGAAAGACAATTTGTTCTAATTCACAAGTGTTGGTCTTGATAAGTCTCTGATTGCCTAGAACACTTTCTCATTGCTGTGTGTAGCATTCTACTGGGGAGAGCATGAGAATTATTGCTTGGTAGAAAAAGGAAAGAATAAATGGAGATCTAGAACATTTAGGAAGATAAAGATTTCACCAAAAAAATCATAGCCTCTGAGTCAAGAGTTGAAATCAAAGCCTTGACTCACTGCACCATCTGAATTTATATGGGGTGTGGGCATTATTACACAGTCTCTCCGACGTATAACTTGGTAAAGTGCAAGCCAGGGATCTTTCCTAGGGATAAACCAAGCATGCTAATCAAACTCCGAGACTACCTTAGTGTGCATCATGACAAAGGTTTTGAGACAGACTGTGTTATGGTCCATTATTTCATTTCCAAGAAACACAGTTAACAGCATCCTTTCTGATTCATGTAAGTTTCAAGTTGCTTGGTTTATTGGTGTTACCAAGAGAGCTTCATGTCCACATGTATTTCAGATTTATTGATTTTTCTGTATCTCAAAACTTTCATGATGACCCACGTATTGAGAAGATCAAACTGAACCCTCTTGACTAACCAAACCCAGGACCATAATCACTGGACAACCACACAGAGACATTTTCAGATGGTTGGGAAAAACAGGAGTGGCTTCTCTGAGCTACTGCTCCCCACCCCTCTCCTTTCAAACAGGGACGCCATGTGCTCAGTTTTTGCTTCCCAGCAGACTGCCTTGTGAAAATGAAAGAAATATTTAACAGCAACAGTAAAAGCAAAGATGACAGCAGATGTTTCTTTTGATGGAGACAGAAGGAGAATCTCTAAGGTTACAAGTAAATGAAGAAAAAAGTTATAACTCTAGGGGCCAACAGTTTATTTTCCCGTCACACAAAAGAGGAAAGGAAAAAAGTTCTGTTTCCTTAGCTGTTTTTGGCAGAGGGGCCTATTATAAACCAAATAAGTGTAAAGTGCACTTATGGGGCATGTTTAAAACCTACTGATAGCTCTTATTTATAGCTCCTTTACTTGCTTATAATGTGTGGCCCTCTTGGGCACAGATAGATACCTTCACATATAAACAAAAGCACTGGAGGCTCGGGGCCTGTGCCTCAAGCGGCTAAGGCGCCAGCCACATACACCTAAGGTGGCAGGTTC